AGGGGGGGAGGGGGAGAGAGAGAGAGAGAGAGGGCGAGCGAGAGAGAGAGAGAGCGGGAGAGAGAGAGAGAGAGAGAGAGAGAGAGAGAGAGAGAGAGAGAGGCAGGACTGGGGCAGAGTTTAGAGCACGTTCAGTTGACAGGCGTCGCCGTTGCTACTCGATTCCGATAACAACACAAGCGAAGGCACGGAGCTGTCGCGAGATACGCGCCTTTAACTGGATTAAGCCGAGAAAAGCCGTTTTGGACGGACCGAGCTGAAGGCGGATGAGCGCAGCCCGCGGGAGGGCAAGTGTGTTTCTGCGGCGGCGGGGTCCAGTCAGCGAAAGATGAACAAAAACCACCGAGTGCCGAGCAACCGAACTCTGAACGCCGTGGAGGTGAAGAGCAAGGTGCGTAGCCAGCGGGCCAATTACTTTAATTAGTGTTCAGTCACAGAACGGACTAGTCTTCGTGGTAGGAATAGACTTAACAGTACATTTGGGTGTTAAGGCACACTCACACTGTCCTGGCAAGTTTGGTCAACCTTGTGAGTTCAGTCGACCGTTGCTTTTAATGCTGAGGACACAATGTGTCCGTGTTGTTAGGGAGAGATTGTGTGTTTGGACCATAGGTTTTGACAGGTGCTCTCTTATCTCATGTTGTCAGGTGTTTATTATATTGTAAAAAATAATGTCTAAAAGTTTTTATTTGAGTTCTTATGTAAGTGTGTGTTTGACCACAATCTCCCAATCCATGGCAAGCAATTTAAAAGTTGTTATTTTAATCTAACGAGTATCTTTTTTTTATGTTACTTATTTTTTTAATTACTAATAACTCAATAGAGACTAGTATAAATTTAGTGCAAGCTAATACTTATTCATTGCATACTAGCACTTATTATTTGCTACTAGTCACTATCCTAATTATCAATTACTTATTACAGATTTGCTGATAGCAAATTGCTGTTTTTCCATCTAAATCTATTGGGATATGTGGCTTATGTCAGATTAGTATGTACTAGTTCTTGCTGGTCCCTGTTCCAGTTTTACTAGTAGCTATTCATGGACTCCAATGATTATGCCAGTATGAGACACTACAGTAGTATCCCAGTTGTTAATATGTCTTATCTTAGTGCTTATAATTACTTCTGTGTTGTCATTTAATAATTGGTATGGTTGTTTTGTAGTTCAGTTTAAAAATGTAATGAAAAACAGGAATGGATACTACTTTGAGAAGAAAATGTCTTCATAAATAATGCATAGTTACTAGTAAAACTGGATTAGATGCTAGTTGGAAGTGTGAATAACTGATATCAGAACCACAGATCCCTATAGAATTCAGTGGAAAAACGTGCAGTTTGTTCACCAGTAACAAGAGAATAAAGACTATTGGCAAAGGAGAACATACTTTTGACTAATATATTGGATACTAGTTACTATTGGTACAAGTGCAATTAATTGAAAAAAAGTGCTTACACAAAAAGATACTAGTTTGTATAAAGGAATAAGTGCTAAAGTGTGTAAAATGGCGCAGTTTTTTTAAATATCTGAAAGTACACTCTTTAACATCAGTCAGCCATGCATTATAATATGATAATCAAGTATTATTTAATCATAGAACTTTAGTAATTAGAATTAAAACTTGATAACCATGTATGAATGCATATTAGTCATTTTAACTGAACTTAGGACTGGTGGTGGTGCTTTTTTGGTCATTCAGTGTTTCTGTAATAAAAAATTGGGAAAAAACGAACAAAAATACTGATAAGATAATAATGATACAAATTCTACTAATAAGAACAATATAAAACGCACTAAGGATTAATTCATGAATATTAATCAGGTTGTGTGCGTTCGCTCAAACTTATTTGCTGAAATCAAAACAGGGACGATAATAGGTGAGCGCCAGCCAATGAGATTGCCGGAAACTCCTTTAAGAGTGCATGTTGGAGTGAGTTTTGCATGTGTCAGCAGTTTTCAGTGTGTGTTAATTTTCCTTTTTTTAACAAACTAGTATAGATTTGTAATACCAGGTGTCTATCAGTTGACAGCGAAAACCTGAAAATAACGGTTTAATATATTGTTTTAAAATACGGTTTAAAATATAGGTTTTATCCACAATTTTAGTATCAATGCATTCCTACTTTTTTCCATGCACAATGAATAGTGACTGGAACTTTCAAGCTTTATAGATGAAGCAAAAAAAGTCCATGCGACTTATATTTAGCCAGATTTATCAGTGAAAAATTTAAATTGGTCTGTTTCATTGTTATTTTAGTATTATTTACTATACAAGTATACTACGTGTTAATATTTTGATTTGGCATTTATTTTCAGTTTTAATATACATTTTTGTACAAGTTTTAGCTAGTAATTTTGTGCTTTTGTCCTGCCAAGGCATTATAATTTGCAAGATTTTTAGTTGAAGTTTTTCATCTAATAGGCAATTTGTATTTTATTTTATTTCAACTTTATTTCAGTTAACGAAACTGATTTGTAATAGTTTTAGACAAGCTGAGTTCGTCTTGTTTTGCTGTGTACTGATGTCTGTTCCATGTTGTTAGTTTGGAGCAGAATTCAGGCGTTTCTCTTTGGACCGGTCCAAGCCGGGACGCTTTGATGAGTTTTATGGCTTGCTGCAGCATGTGCACCGGATCCCCAACGTCGATCTGCTTGTGGGTTACGCCGATGTCCACGGGGACCTACTGCCAATCAACAACGATGACAACTACCATAAAGCAATCTCCATGGCAGCGCCCCTGCTCCGTCTCTTCTTGCAGCGGAAAGGTGAGGATTGTGTTTTTGAAGTGGGTCATTGGTCAAAGTTCAGCTCAGTGTGTACCATATGTTACACACTTTGTATTATGTGACACAATACCCTCTACATTCCTTATGGTCACAACACTCACAGTTGTAGTTAATTTGTCCATCTGTATGGTGAGAATTTATATGTAGTTATATAATATGCACAAATGTTTTGACTGATAACACATGTGGAAGCGATAGCTGCTTCAGGAAGCTGTCAGACCAGAAGTGGTGCTTTTGTTTATATATCAGTTATATCAGATTATAATGTGAAAGGTTATGTAGTCCTGGGGGAAGTGAGTTGTGTTCAGTAACATGGCTGCTAGTTAGTGTGGTTAAGTCTAAATTCAGATAAGTTTCTACTAACAGCTGTGTTTAATGTTCCAGTTTGAAGTGAACAAATGATTGCTCATTTTATTGATACTGTATCTTACAGTTTAATTACAGCTGTGCGATTATGATATTTAAGACATTTCATAAGACCTAGTTTATTTCATGATCTCCCTTGATGCATTTTTCGTTTACTAATATGGCCAAGTGTTTCATAATTTGGGTTAAAAGTCTTAAGACTTTGAGACTTTGAACCCTCGACTGAGCTCACTTGAAAGCAACAATATAAAGTTAAAGGTCTGAACTCTGAACTGGTGACAGTTCACAGTTGTTGTGTGCTTTTGGTGTGGGGTGCCCCACTCTAAGCTGTGTCTGTGTGCCATATGACCTGTAGATGGTAAGCCACTTTGTCAGGCGGTGATTAGAGGGGTCACTGTGTAACACGGTGTGGCCTGCGTTTCAATTACACGGTGACGCTAGCTCCATGCTGTGACCTGTTGCTATGGCAGAATATGTGACACGGAAGCACATGAGGACCCACCCACTTTTTAACTTCACCCTATATCTTGTCACGTATGTTTTAGTTCTTTGAATTAGGGCTGGGCGATATGGCAAAAATTTAATCTCGATAAATTTTTCCCATATTGAACGATAACGATATATATTTCGATATAAGTTGTTAATGCTTCCAGCTTTAAAAGAGTATCCCAACAATGACTGAAGCCACAAAAATTTGAGGGTTCATTAAATTACACTTTAAAAGTATAGTTTATTAAAAAAAAAAAAAATTCTGGAGTAGCTTGTGATGTGCTCTGACATTCATCCAGCATCTGAGCCACGGCTCTGGATTTCACAGCCTCAACCTTGTCATCTTTGATGTAGCGTGTCTTAAAACGAGGATCAACAAGAGATGCTACGCTCAGAAGATCATCAGTGGCAGCGTTGTCATATTTCTCATTCAGATAGCTGATGACAGAAACCTTGATGGTCTTGGTGAGCTCTGAGTCATCAGCTACAGGTTTAAAGACCTCCTCACTGAAAAGATGCAGTATAGGTTTCAGGTACGACACTCTCACATATTCTTCACCAGAAAGGGCATCAGTGAAATCAGCAAGTGGGTTTAGAGCCTTGCACACAGACTCCAGAATGTCAATGTCCTGCCATGAGGGAGCCAAGTGCCTTGTTTTTTTATCAGCTGATAAAACTTTTGCAACTTTTGCCTTCTCCTGCTCTAGCACTCGTGCTATCATGGCATGGCGTGACCCCCACCTGGTGGGTGATTCTGTGATCAACTTTGGCAGCTTGAGCTCCTCTTGGGCTTGAGTGACCGCTAGTTCTCGTTTCTTTTTCCATGAGAAGGAAAAAGCACACAGCCATGGCTCTTTGGATTCTCTGGTCTCTCATACTCCCCTCTGATGATGAAGAAAACAATATAGGCACATGTTTAGAATCTTTAAAAGGCAAAGATGATTATAAAAAGTACTTGTTTGTGATGATAAAAAGTATTTTGTGATGATAAATTACAATGTTATGAGATTTTCAATCAACGAGAAACTACATTTAGACCACACACACTAGGGCTGTCTTTTTATCCCACAAATCATAATGACATAATGGCTTAAGCATGCAATGACAACTTCAATGCCAACAGAAACGTAACTGAATCAAAATTGAACAAATTATGAGAAATTATCACGTTATTATTGTGGAATAGATGCATTACTTACATTTTAAAACATTAACGGCATTTAACATGCTTAATATATATGCATATTTATCAAATCGCGTCAAGCAGGGCTAGACGATCATTTATTTATTTATTTATCCGTGCCTTTACAGCACACAACCACACGCAAGTTGGTGTTTGTTAGGGCAGTGTGAATACGACAGCATTTTCTAAATTATGCAGTCAAACGTGATAGCCTTAAATGCTGTGAAATCAATTAGGATATTTTATAAATATGCTGTTTTTAGCACTGAAAACTTTACCTTTTTTACATGCTTAACTTACCAATGGCTAGATGTAGCCGTGACCAAAACACTGCAGACGGGTCCAGTTTTTAAGTGAGACAGCCTTGACGATGTTTGCACCGTTGTCCGTTGTAATGCACACCTGGCGGTCCTCGCTAAGGCCCCAAGATGCGAGTGCATTCTTCAGACCCGCAGAGAGTATTAACGCAGTATGGTCATCCGGAAAATATGCAGTTTGCAAGCATCTTGATTGCAGACCCCTCTCCTCGTCAATTTAATGAATGGTGAGGCTCATATATGGCTCGGATGTCCGGCTTGACCATAGGTTGGTGGTAGTGGCAAAAAATCTCACGTTCCTTAGATTATTTTCCAGCTTTATCCTGTGATAATATTAGTCCCGTTTGGCGGGTCGCATATAATTTTTCGAGTTTTTTGTTTGCTGTGCGCCTTTTTTATCCATCTTTCGCAAAGAATGGAGCTGCGTTGGAGTGTTTGATAGTATTCTGGGTGCTGTCATCATATCGCTAACACCATACAATTTGCAGAAAGAGAAAGCTGAGAAGGTTTTGAGGTTAATGTGTTACAAATAAATCAAGCACAAAGCTTGAGATATTATTTTAACCTGGTGAAATGTAAATGACACAGCGCACGAAACTATATTAGTTTCTTTTTTTTAAATCCATCTGGACCATAGAACGGGACTCTCAAAGCCTTGACATCCGGGTATCCGGGAGATAAGTCAGTAAATTCGAGTAAAATCACAGGCTTTGCTTATCCCGTGCGAATGCACCACACGAAATTCAGATGTGGGGGGGTAATTTCAAAATCACACAAGGTCCCCAGATAATACTAATCCCGTGCGAATAGGGCTATAGGGGGTAATGGCCACGAATTAACTAGCCTTAATAGGTTAGTTTCACTTTCGTCGCCGCTTCCACTCATTTTTATTTTTTTTTGTCGTCGTGTCGAGTTTGCTTCGCAAAGCGAGGTAGGAAATGGACTCTGTACTGTGACGTGCACGTGCACGCTGATTGGCTGTTGTCGCATATTTCTGTTGTGTGGCTCTTGGATCAATCCATATCGAGTAAAAATGTCCAGAGCTCATCATCGTTATCGACAACTTTTATCACGATTCGATATGATATCGTTTATCGGCCCAGCACTACGTTTGAATGCATGCCTGTGGATGTAGGGGGTAAGCAGACAGTATTCCAAAGGCTAGATCTGATGTAGCACTAAATGCTACATAGATTCATTAGATTCATAAACTTCTGTTTCAAAACCTTACTTGCTTTACACTGCTCATAAGACAATGGCATTCTGAGGCAATAACATGACTAAAAAAGGATCCTATAAATAGGTCCAGGTAAAATCAAGATATTTTGTGGTGATTTGTGGTTGTTAAAAAAAAAGAAAATTCTGTGATCACACAAAAGAAGATATTTTGAAGAACAATTGATGGTCCCCTTTGACTTCCATAGCAAGTAAAAAAAATACTATGGAAATCAGTGGGGACCCTTAACTGTTTTCTTTACCCACATTATTCAAAATATTTTATTTTGTGTTCAGTAGAAGGAAGAAATTTATACAGGTTTGTAACAACTTGATGGTGAGCACATGATGATAGACTTTTCTTTTTTGGGTGAACTATCCCTTTTAACGGAAATTCTGTTGAATGCTATCATCTAAGCATAGTAAACCAAGAATGATAACTATATAATTGTCCATACCAATGGATGACAAGTGCTTTAATATGCACAAGCTCTTTGAACCTGGTTGGTTTCTGATTGGCACTCAGTGTTTTTATCATTTATCAGCTGGACAATCTTTCTGAAAGGTATTCTAACAATATTGTTCCTCTGTGCCTTTGTTCCTCTGTGGTTTGAACTTCCCTATTCTCATAGAAATTATTATTTTCAAACTTCATAGTTATCGAAGTCATTCAATTTAAATTTTTCAATTAAATTTAAGTGTGCTTTATTGGCATGACAAAAATTAAATTTGTATTGACAAAGTAATTGCCGCTGGGCTGCTTACAAATAGTACACATGTATTAACAGAAAGAAAAAGAATAATAATAGTAATAATAATAATATATAAAAAGTATTAAGCATGTAGTGCAAAATGAATTACTAATGTATGTAAGTATATAAAATATTATATTATAAAAATAAAATAAGATAAGGGATTAGACAGGTTTACAGAAGCAAAATGTACAGCTAAGTAATATAATAGAGTAATATGTCATAATATAATAATCTACATGTGCTGGAAACATCAGATCAGGGCAGTTTGAGTGTTTTCTCGTCTATCGTGACAGGCAGAAACATATTGAGCAGCTAACACACATCAGTTCTTGTGTTCTCCTAACAGATACAGCAGTTTCTCCTGGTTTGAAAGAGTTTTAAATGTCTAATGGATGTGCTGTGTTTTATCATAGAACACTGTCCGTATATCTGTGTATTTGGGGCATTCTGTTAAGTGCAGTTCTGTTTCCGTCTGATTCAGATCACAGTGTGAACCGGTGGCAGCCGTGTTTTTCTGTGTCTGTCCGTCTCTATCATCAGCTTGTGTCCGCTGAGTCTGTATCTGGTCAACGTGCTTCTCAGTTTCTTATCTGACACTGTGTACAGATACTCTGCCATACTGTACTCTTACTTTATAGGGCCAAATAGCATTGC